GATAAATTATATATATATTTTATTTATTTTTTCTATGCGGCCAAATGATGGCCCGGCGGTGGTTGGGGACCGCTGATCTACACAGTCAAGGGCAGCCGGCTAAAGGTCACTGAAATTATCTACAGCCAGTAAAAGAAACATGATTGGAAAGTTGAGTGGAAGGAAAAAACGTGTTTAAGCAACAAATTGCATATATTTTTATACCAGTCAACATTTATTTCTTAAAAACCTTAACATGCAGATTTCTTTTAAAAACAGAGTTTTGGGTTTTCATGAGCTTACTGTGATCAAGATAAGCAAACAAAAATCTCTCCTGTGTGTAAAAAAAATTATATAATATTATAGAAATAAGCTTTTTAATCATCTTGTGAATATGGAGATGCACTATTACATTGGTCCTGCTCTTTTTTGTGTTGGAGTATCCCTTTTTTTGTCACATTAATACTTTAGAAAAAGCTTCTGTGCTTAGAAACATCATAAAATAATTAGTGCCACCTTCATGGTTTTCAATATTGCCTCACAGGCAGCATCCTTCCTGTTCAGATATATATGCAATCTGTGTTTTTTTTCCTCATATTTACAACATCAAAAGGCAGTTTTAATTTAGATATTTTCTTTATATGATAGACAATGTTTAAAACATATTGCTTCTTCTTGTCTTATGACTAATGTTTGCTTTCTGAAATCAAAATACAACAGAAATATCAAATAACTTTTTTTATATGAAACAATAAGCTGCGATCTGGATCATTGTCACCTGATTATTTTACAAAAACACAGAGAAAATTTAGGAAACATACAGAGTTGGTAGATAGTTTGTTTCACTTTAAGGTGGGATCAGGTTTCTATAGTTCAGAAAAAGGGAGAGTTTGTTTTTTTGTTTTCCTAATGTTAAAAAAGGGGAGTCAGATGCTCCACTTGCTCAATTTTTCAGTCATCTATGGCCCGAATGATAGTTTTTGATTTTATGATGCTTTGCTATGTACAAGTTTTGGTTATTATTTTAACATAAAGAAGCACACCAAGGAAGTGATTGATTGGAATTTTTTAAAATTGGTGAGATTCTTTGTGGTAACAGAAATTTATTTTTTTTATTTTTTATTCGTTTAAAACCTATAATCATCACAAAAGGGATACAAAAAAAACTTTTTCTTGATTTTCCCTTTCATATTTTCACCTTCCTCACCTCGGTATTTGCTGCCAAAAATGATTCATCAGTCTGTTATATCACAGCTCCTATAAAAGCTGAGGCTTTTCTGATATCATGCGGATAAAATGACGCATCATTTTTAAAAATAGTTTTCTTTGCCCTAACCTTTATTTAGTCGATATGCTGTTTTTTATCTCTGCTTGTCAATCTTTTAACTATGTACTTAAATATTCAACTTTTGTTACTCGGCAGATTATTTTATGTTTTAAAAAAACAGGAAAGTGACATATCTTAATGATCAGTGAAAATCCAATTATCAAAACATGCACAGACTATTGCTAAATAAATCCTCAGTATTATATAATATTAATATATTATATTAAAACAGTTCTAATCAACTTTATGGTCAAAATATGAAGGTAGAACATAGCTTGCACTAGCTTGTTGTCGACCCTATTTCAATTTAATTCAGTTTATATAGCACCAATTCAAAACATGCACAGACTATTGCTAAATAAATCCTCAGTATTATATAATAATAATATATTATATTAAAACAGTTCTAATCAACTTTATGGTCAAAATATGAAGGTAGAACATAGCTTGCACTAGCTTGTTGTCGACCCTATTTCAATTTAATTCAGTTTATATAGCACCAATTCACAACACATGTCATCTCAAGGCATTTTACAG